ACCAGGAAACCGGTCCCCATAAGGGAAAAAAAACGGATATTTATCACGTTATGGGGACATTGTGTCCCCATAAGGATAGGTAAACCCGCTCACACACACACATACACACACACGCACAAACACACACACACACACACACACACACACACACACACAGACTTCAGTAAACATTCAAAGATGTTCACAATAGTATTATCAAATTTCAGTGTCTTGATTTTTTTGACTTTTTTAACAATATTTTGTAGTTCAAATGCATTGTGATAATCAACCAAAACACAATTGTTACTTGTCACTTGAAAATCTGTTGAAAATTTCCTTTTACTAGACTTTGTCTCTATGCAGCCAATTTAACTTGAGGTGAAGAACCTGTCTGTGCACAAATAAAGTAAATAAACTGCAAAATGATGATAAAGAGTGATTACATTTTAATGAATGTTGCAACTACCCCTGTGGACTGTTGCAACCGCCATCCCTTATGGGGTCAGTTGCAATATTTGACTTTGTCTATTTAAGTATAAATTGTTACAGCAGTGTGAGTGGGTAGCTGACAGATGTGGGTTTATTGTATTAAAAATGTATCTTTCCAGTACAAACAGTCTCAGAGAAATTGAAGGAAATGCAAAGTGTTGTAACCATCCCCACTCCACTACATGAATAGGAGATAATAGAACGGACAGCGTCGCAGATTACTGAATTTCATTGACTTTTTCAAAGTACAGTACAGCTGTTCTAAATGTTTTTCAAATTACATTACTGTACAAATTAAACTACTGAACTGTGTACAATTCAAATATGCTGTAATACAACACAGTACTGTACATATAATATAGCTTAATGTAGTTTTGCTGCTGCAGCTCGTTGGCTCGTTTTTGGTGGTTTATCATAAACTTTGATGAGTCTATATTTGTCATTGAGAGAAAATGACTATTTGCACGCAGCACGCAGCATTAGCCTCAGGTCGCTAACCAGAAGCAGATAGGTTACTGTAAGCATGATTACAGTAGGATTAAGATGTACAGAGGCCCCTAGGCTACAGTAGTCTGTGGGGCCCCCAACCCCAACCCCACCCCCCTCCGCGCCAATGGGGGCCCCCTTGCAGGCTGGCACACGTGGGGCCCCTAGGCTTAAGCCATATCTAGCCTGTGCGTTAATCCGCCCCTGACTGTAAGGCATAGGTGAATCTGGGGGGTGGCAAGGGGTGACCTTGGCCAGTCTAGACTGAAACCTGGCCACCCCATTGGCCACCCTTCCACTCATGAGTTTGAGGCTGGCTTGGAGACCAGTCTCACCTATTGTTTTACTTTTATCCTTAGTGTTTGGTATTTATCTCTGTCTTTGCTATGTGCCCTTGTTTTTGGTTTACCCTGCCTGGTTTAATTTGTTTCTACAGGAATATTTGTTCCTAGTTACCTTTGGTGTTTCTTAATGTTTCCTAGTTTCAGTGCTTGTTAATTGTAATTTATTCCACTTGTTGCTGTGCATTTTCTGATTGGTTGTTTTTGGTTATGTTCCACACCTGCCCCTTGTTAGCCCTTGTCGCCTATGTAGATTTAAGTGCCTGCTCTCATTCTATTCTATAACCTGTCATTGTAGATGCTCTCTGTGTTAGTAATGGTGTTAGTTTCTCAGTCTTGCTCCCGGTTTTTGCTTTGTTCCTTATGTGTTACTTTATGGTTCTTCTAGTTTAGTTCTTGACCCCTGAAGATCCATCTGTTTTGTGTTCTGTTGTGTTCGTATATTCACCATGCTCCACCATAACAGTAGTGGGGTGAGTCCTTAGTCACTACGTCACTCTTCGCCACAGACATAAGAAAAATACTCTGATATTGTACCACAAATATCAGGCAAATAACAAGCCAGTCACTTATAATTTTCTGTCATTCATTGACACCCACTGAGGCACTGATGAAATTACATAATCATATATATTTTGTATAAGAATTTCCATTTGTAATTAAATTTACAAGGGAGGAGAAATGGTCCTTCAAAAATGTGGCAAGTATCAAGAGTTTTGTATTCCCATTAACAAACATGATTGAATCCATTTTGAAATCTGTTTGACATCAATTGCTCTGGGGCTCAAGGCAGATAGGTTAATGTGGAATGGCATTTTCACAGCATGCTAATGCATGCTAACCCTCTGCCTGCTAGCCATTACATACTTAAAGCTATTGTATCATTCATCACAGAACACAAGAGACACAG